TGGCATCTCCCCTGCTGCCTCCTCGCCCTATTCTGGGCCTGGCCTGCTGCCTGCTGCGCATTGCTGGGGGGTCGTGCTGAGAGGGACTTGGAGCCTTGGCTTTGCTCCGGCAGGGGCCGAGCTGGCCTAGATCCTGAGCAGGGATGCGGGGGAGGCTCTTGATCTCCTGCACAAGCTCTTCTTTCTGCTAAGTCCCTTAATTCCCTGGAAATCCCTTGTGCTGCTAACGGTGTGTGATGGCCTTACCAGCACCCTGTGTGGTGCAGGGCACCAGGCACTGCCCATCCTTGAGCACCAGGCAGCCCCTGCCTGCTGGAGGGCCCCAGCAGCCTGCAGTGATGGGGCTGGGGAAAATCTCAGGACGTTTTCCCAGCCAGACTGGGAGCGGGTCAGAGACTGCAGGGCCCTCCCAGGGCAGGGGGTGATGCAGGGGGGTTGTCATGTTCCCCTGCGCGCCTTGTCGCTGCGGATGCCACCAGCATCCCACCTGTGAGCTCCTGCGCTGCATGTGGCACATCTTCCCCAGGGTCCCCACTGCCTGTGGAGCTGGACAAATGTCATGGCAATGGAGGCCTTGGGCCCTGAGCAGCATGATGGGATGGTGGAGGCTGGGGTTCCTGAGCTGATGGGGGCTCAGTCACACAGTACTGTCCTTGTAGATGGAGCCAGAGGTGGTGGGGCAGCACCAGGTGCAGAGGCTGGAGCCAGAGCTGCCCAACGGCATGGAGAAGGTCCAAGTGAAGGAGCTGGAGCGAAGGAGCAAGTTGAATGTCGAGGAGCTGAACAGGATTGAGGATGAGGATGTTCTGGATAAGATGGTACCTCCCATGCTGCTAGGCTTCTGGGGGAAGGTGAGGGGACCCCCAGCTGGCAGCAGAGGGGTGATGCTGACCTCCATGTCCTGCAGCTTGATCGGACGACGGACTTTGAGGAGCGGCGGCTGATCCGAAACGCCATGCGGGAGCTGCGCCAGCGCAAGCGAGGTACCCGGGGACGGGCACCCTGCAGGGGCAAGGACTTTGGCGGTGCTGCGGGTGGAGTTGGCAGGGTCCTGGAGTGGGGCTGTCCCACTGGCGAAGCAGGATGGTGCATTGGGTCTTCTGCGGCGCCCCTGGCTGTGTGAGGCTGAGGGCATCATCCTGCCCACGAGTCGGTTCTGGACCAGCAGCAGCCAGCAGGATCCTGGTGCGGCAGGACCGTGCCTGCCTGGGCATGGCTGCACCCACCTGTCACTGCTGACACCTTCTCCCACGTTTGCAGACCAGCGGGAGAAGGAGCGGGACCAGCGGCTGCAGGAGATGAGGAGCCAGGCTATGGTAGGGAGGGCCGGCAACGCCACGGAGACCACCACCACACAGAGCACCCAGTCAGCCGACGGCTCAGCACGCAGCACTGTCACCAAAACCGAGCGTCTCGTTCAGTCTGGTACGGGCTGGGCCTGGGGGGACAGGGCTCTCCTGCCCAGCTTGGCCAGTGTGCTGGTGCTCTGGGAGGCCGTGCCATTTTCCTTGGTGCTCTGCCCCTCTCACTACTCTTCCTGGGTCTCGCTTGACCCTGCTGAGAGCACGCCTAGGTTCAGGGCTGAGTTTTGCTGCATATCCTCTGGCTCACCCAGAGCTTGCCTGGGCCTCTGTACGGGATCTGCTCTAGTGACTTTGCACCCTGTTCTCCACCCAGTGAGGGTGGCTGCGGGCCTTGTCTGCACCTCAGGGCTGTTTCCTGTCCCCAGACCTCTGCTTTCTCAGTCCCTAGATGGCTCAAGCTGAGAGTCGCTGCAGGGGGCTGGGGGATGCTCCAGCTACCTGCTACTCACTGGCCTCTTGGCTTTGTCTGAGGGGGCACATGTCATCTTTCACCCTCTGCCTGCCCTGGCCATGGCTCTGTCTCCTGGGGCTTCTCCCTGTCGTGCTGCAGAGACACAAGGGTGCTTGGCAGCAGCGGTTGTCTGGGGGGGCCCCTGGCCCCAGCTGATCCCGTTGCCTTCTCCCCTGCAGGTGATGGCACCAAGACCTCCCGTACCACAACCATGGAGTCAAGTTATGTGAAGAGATCAGACAGTAAGGGCTGTTACTGCCCTTTCCCTGTGGCATCCTCTGAGCGTAGCCCCAGGGGCTTTACTGCTGCCCCCCCACCCCATCTGTGGTACAGGCAGAGCCCTCAACCTGCCTGGCACCACTTCCCTCAGCTCCTGCCCAAGGCCTCTCTCTTTTTCTCTCTGTGCAGATGGCAACAGCACATTTGTTCAAACCAAATCATCCTACAGTTCCTCTTCTAAGAAAATGGGCAGGTGAGTGGCAGTGCCTCCCCAGGGCTAGCCCCAGGCAGTCCCTATTGGTCATCTGCTGCTACAAACCAGCTGACCAACTTGTGGTGTCCCTGTACAGGGACGTTCCCAGAGCCTCTTGCTCCTTGGGGCATGCTTGCCACCTCCAGAGGTCCCCATGGGGGACCCTCCATCGCCACGGAGACTTGTCTGCCAGCCAGGGGCCTCAAACCACTCCTATCCTAGTGACATGAGGTCTCCAAAGTGCCAGGGCTGGCAGTGGGCTGAGGCCACCGCATGCTCTTCCCCAGGCTGCCTGTGGCCCCCTCAGCTTTGTCTGTCTCTCTGCTAGCATCTTTGACCGCGAAGACGAGAGCACCTCCAGGCAGAGCAGCCTGGCCGCGCTGGAGCGGCGCCAGGCTGAGAAGAAGAAGGAGCTGATGAAAGCTCAGAGCCTGCCCAAGACATCGGCCTCCCAGGCTCGTAAAGCCATGATGGAGAAGCTTCAGAAGGAGGGCGGGAGGTGAGGCTGGGCTGGGGGCAGGCTGGCCGGGGAGGTGAGCGCCCTGTGGATAACACTTCATGTCCTGTGCGGCAGCTGGCCGAGCCCCGCGGCGGCGCGCACCGCCGTGCAGCGCTCCTCCAGCTTTGGCGTGCCCAACGCCAACAGCATCAAGCAGATGTTGCTGGACTGGTGTCGAGCCAAGACCCGGGGATACGAGGTGAGCGTCGGCTCCTCTCCCCGTCCCCAGAGCTGGTCATTCTGCCCCCCCGGCAACTCTCCTCTGTCCTGTCCTCGCAGCACGTGGACATCCAGAACTTCTCATCCAGCTGGAGTGATGGCATGGCTTTCCCCGAGGCGTTTGACTACAGCCAGCTGACGCCCCAGAACCGCCGCCACAACTTTGAGGTGGCCTTCTCCTCCGCAGAGTACGTAGTTCTTGTGCCATCACGTGGCCCTAGGGCAGCTCAGAGCGGCTCCCCCACTCGCTGCCTGGGGGAAGGGGGGCGATGGTAGGGCTGACTGTGCTGGAGGTGGGTGCCTGAGAGCATCCCTCCCTCCATGTCATGTGACAAGGTTTCCACACTGGGAAAAAGCAGTGGCTGCGTGGACAGAGCCACAAGGGGCCAGTCTGGCATGGCAAGGGTGGGCATGGGGGTGTGAGCTTTCTGGGTGTGGGGTAGAGCACCCACAGGCAGGGCAGTAGC